AAAAATTTCCAATTGTAATAATATATATTAATATTGATATTAATTAATATTAAAAGATTGAATTATTCACATATTCAAATTTATAAAGAAAATAATAAATATATATAGCAATAATAATAATAATAATAATAATAATAAAAATAATAATAACAATAAGTAAATAATAATTAATTTTTTATATTTAATAAAACTCTTATTATCATTATTATTTAATATCTGTTTAAATATTATTTTATATATATATTATTTTAATATAATATTTCAAATTGCTTTAATATTAGAATAAGAAAATCTAATAATAATATTTAAATTTTTATATATTAATAGTCTTATTAAGCATCAAAAATATAATTATAGTATTATTATTTTTACTAAAAAATACTTCTATATTATTTTCTTTACAGAAAATATTTTTATATTATTTTCTTATCTTTATGACAAATGCTCACTATAAATTCACAAGATCCAGAAATTAACACAAGCAATACAAGTCTTAATAATATATTAATTTTTAATAATTTTAACTATGTTTCAAATAATTATAATATAGAAGATATTGAAAATATAAATATGATTATCAAAAGTCAAAGAGTATAAATAATATATTAAACTTTAATATAGAAATAAACTTCTTTTTTTTTGATAAAACCAATTTTAAAAAAGCATATATTTTAACAAAAGCAGATAAAGATAAGAATATACTTCTTTTAAAGGATATTAATATTTATACTAAAATAAATAGCAATAAAATACTAGTATTCAAATCAGAATTAATTATATTTGATCAAATAATGAAAATAAATATTTTGTTGAGAATATAAAAGAAAATACTAATTAAATATTATTAGTTTGTCCGATTCTGAATTTAATTACTAGTTATATAGTGCATAAAATCTAAAGTCATCAAGTGTTTGTATTTTGTAAAATGTATAAACTTCTTTACTAAGAAGTAAATACAAAATTTAATCCGTGAATATGATAGAATAGACCTTTTCTGAGCATATTCACGGATTAAATTTTGTATTTACTTCTTAGTAAAGAAGTTTATACATTTTATGAAATACAAACGTTTGATGACTTTAGATTTTATGCACCATATTCAATCTGTTCAAATTATTTACAAAAACAGAAATCACTTTCTCAACTTGTTGAAGCTTAGAAAATTAATACAAAAATTTTTTAACAGATCCAAATGGAAAATAAATTATTAATAATAGATATTTATAAATTTTATTTTCTTTTTAATCAAAATTAACTTCATTTTTTATATGTCAAACATTTATAATAAATTGAAAAGAACTGGATTTTTTGCTGACATTATTTATTTTACAATATTTTTTAGTTAAGATAAAACATTTATATAATATTCAAGATGCATTTTTAAAAAATATTCAAATATCTTATATTAAACTTAAGATTTGTTCTGTATTTAAATAAATTAAAAAATTAGAAAATATTACTAATAATTTAGAAACTGAATATTAATCTTGATATATTTGTTCAGAATATTTTATTACACATAGAAAATATTTTTATGAAAGACAAGGTCGTGGAAGCAAATCAAATTTTGAATATATAAATATATATAAAAATGATACAAGTGAGATATTTCAAATTTTGGATTACTGGATTTTGTACATAACAAAAATTACTGACAAAATAAAAAAAAAGTTCTTTTAGCATATTTGAATTATATTCTATTATTATTTTATAATACCAAGTTCTCCTTAATAATAACATGTTTTCTAATTCTTCTTTTTATTAAAATAATTTTAAAACTAGCACATATTTATTTAATAAATAATTCAAAATATAATATTATCTTTGAAATAGTTACAGATCTTGAAAAAGCATTGAAAATTGCAACATAAAAAGCATGACATAATGTATAAAAAAATAAAGCAAAACTTGAAAATTCAGTATCATTAGCAGAATATCAAAATAATTTTTCTTCATATTTGACAAATTTTTTTAATAGATATTACAAAGAAAAAAATATGAAGTATTATTAAAAAAAAAGATCTTTATTGAAGATTTTTGATATAAATTATATACAAAAATATCTATATTTCTTATTTTAGTAGTGTTAAATATTGTATTTTCATATATTGATATTTGGTTTACATATATTATGAGTTTTTTATCATAAATCAATATTATTTTACTCTTTATATAATATTCCTTGTGTGATAAATGTGATATCACACATACAACAACATGAAAAATAATTAGAAAAGATTTGTATAAATGAAACAAAACTAGAAAGCAGATTAATACAAGACAAAAATATTTGAAATATTTTAATAATTGATAATATAGACTTTGTAAAGTGAACTTTTGTATATATAAATATTTTTGATACTATATACAAATCTATACATATTATATTAAGAATAATCTTTCAATTACTATATTATTATATATTTGACACTTTAATATTTATAAGTAATTTTTTTTTTACGAGATAATTTTTTCTAATTTTTTAATTATACATCTTAATAACTGGAATATAAATAATATTTTTAATAAATTTCACAAAAGATATCAATTGAATATCAAGTATTATATCCAAATATAATTATACTTAAACTGAAAGATAGTTTAAATTGTAATATAAATATTCATAATACATGTAATTTATATTATAATAATATAGAAGTAGCCAATATTGAATACTTAGATATTATATGTGATGAAATAATTTTTTGCAAATTGATTTCATAGAAAGAAAATAATAAAGACAAAATTATAAGATCTTTTTTAGATTAGTAATATACTTTTCATGATATATATAGTATATTAATAAATATTTTTTTAGATTGTGATATTGCTAATATAATTGCAAAACTTGATGTTCACTTTTTAGACAAATTAGAAAAGTTATAAATTATCAGATTATCTATCAAGTTTTGGAATTAATTTGAGTTGCTATTAGTATTGCAATATATCAATATTTATATAATAAAAATCACATAATAAATAATATTAAGAATAAAAAAATAATATGTTCAGAGTTTGATATTGTTATTTTTGCTGGACAAGTTATTGAATAAGACATAAACTTGATATTTATTAGAGAAATTATGATATATAAATAAAAAATCTTGCAGCATTTTTATCTCTCTTTCTGGTTGCTGGTAAATATAACTATGTTAAATTAGTAACATATTTTTATCTTATATTGAAGATGATTCACATCTTTAAAAATTACTTTGATATGTTTGTTTAGTAAATCTTACTTTACTTGATTACTATTTATTTGATGAAGTATTAGAGAGATTTGGAGCAATGTTTATAAAACAAAATATTAGAGAAAAAATATTAAATAATGAGAAATTGAAATTACAGATAGATTCTGTACAGACAAAAAGAGATCAGTTAGAATTATTAGTATCAGAATATTTGAATGATATGATTACAATTAAAAAGAAGTAAGTTATAAAATTCTAAAAAGAAAATCTATAAAAATTAGCTGATGAATTATTTATTGCCTTTTCTTTATCAGATCCTAAAACACATAAACTTTTTGCAGATATTCAAAAAGTGAATTCAACAGATTTTTTAAAAATATTTATAATAGTATTTATAAGTATCTGAATATTCCTAATTTTTTATAGATTATGTGTATTATTTTAAAAATTTCTAAAAACAAAGAATAACACAAATACTATTCATTTACAATTTTTAAAATTGGTATAATTTTTATATCAGAATATTTTATATTCATAAACTTTCACACTCTAAATATAATAAAATGATCACTTTAGAACATAAGATTTTGATATTTAGTGATCAGATTTGAGTGAAAATACTATTATTTGACTCATTTAGTCAAGATGAATTGAATAGTAGTATTTGTATTCAAATTTGATTACTGGATGTTGAGATATTATGTCCTAAAGGAACTGTTTCATTTTTTGATAATCAATTTTAAATGAAAAATGATCATTAAAAAATGAAACAATCCCTTTAGGATGTAATATCTTGATATTCAGTAATCAAATTTGAATACAAATACTATTATTCAATTCATCTTGACTAAATGAGTCAAATAATAGTATTTTCGTTCAAATCTGATTATTAAACATCACGATTTTACATCCTAAAGTGACCATTTTATTTTTGTTAACATCAAAAAAATAAATTTGACATAGTATCTTGACATCTAATGATTGAATTCAAACAAAATACTACTATTTGATTCATCTTGACTAGACAAATCAAATGGCATTATTTTTTGTTCAAATCCAATCACTGGATGTCAATGATTATATTATTAGATATTGAGATATGTGTTTTGAAATTTGTGATATAAAATTTTAATGAACATAAAACTTTAAAAAGAGTAGATAATCAGCATTTATGTTATTCTTTGTTTTCAGGAATTTTTAAGATAATATGCATGATCTATAAAAAATTTAAGGACGTTCAGATACTTACGATTACTACTATACTTGTTATGATCTCAGCATGACTCAACTTAATGCAATTTTACATCAGGATATTTACAAAATTGATACTTAAAACACAAAAGACCATCATGCATGTAATATGGTAGTGCACAAATTGATAATTTAGCAAAAACAATAATGAAGAAACGTGAAAAGAAAAAAGAAAAGCAATTACAAGAACAAGTTAAGGATATTCATTGTGTAAAACAGCAACGCCGACTTACAACTGATGATGAGAAAAAGATACTTGAAACTGTACTTAGATATGATACCTTTCCCGAGGATATAGTTATTGAAATTCTACAACAACTACAAGTGTATAGCAATGATTGGGATGTACAATGTGTTCGAATATATTGGAACAACAATCAGCTCTACAAGCGAAAAAACTCTCTACAAATTTGCATACTCATAATAATAGTGATAAAGCTAATCAAACTCTTGATAATTCAGGCTCTATTAATCCTGTTAGTCACCAACCAGCACAAGGACAAATCATTCATTCACCGTCACTCAATGTGGCAAATAATACTTTTTGTTGGAACAATAATGCATCCTTACTTCTTTCAAATAAAATTATTTCTCGAAGTGGAACACCGCCGCCAAATGATTACCCGGCTACTAAACAAATAACATCAGTACGAGCGATCAATAATACTACTAAGACCACTACAGCAACTAACAATTATATTCTTGATGACAATGAATGTCAGTCTTTAACTCCGGATTTACATGATTCTGACGAGGAATTTTTCGATGCAATGGATGCTTTTAATGATGTACAAGTTGAAGAAGCAGTCGCTAATAGAATTATCTGAAGCTGACGGGCTTCAACCATACATAATCACCACATATTCATATAGCGCGGATCAACCAGACTAGTTAATAAATATTCACCCAATTAGAATCTCACCTTCTATAGCGATACTATATCGATATCACGATTTATTTAGACTTGTTTCCATTGATGAACGATTTATTGGATGCGTTTATTAGTACGTACTTATGAATTTTACAGATAACGATAACGTTATTTATGTAAATCTTTAACTAATATTGATATATCGATATACGTACAATTGTCTGAATTTTACTGTTTTTACGCAAAAAATATTTCAGTTATAGCAACGATAATTAGATGAATAAAAAGTAGAAAACTTGAAAATAAATTTCAATTAATTTCATGAAATAGGTGAATTTGCAATATTATGATGTTATGATAGAAACAAAAAGTGTGTTTTCCGTTATTCTACTAAGAAACATAAGTGTAATACACTGGAAAAGACATATCGATATCCTGTGACCGATATGCACAAAAAAATTTTTCTCTGAAGTATGTGAAACCTTATTTCTCAAAAAGTACTTTAAACTATATAAATAATGATAGCCAATCATGTGAATTTCTTCCTACATATGTGGTACTATCGCAACATGAACAAAGATTTACCATTACGTACATATTGTTACGAAAGATTAAATCTTTAGAAATTAAAATATGAGCAATCAAGTAAAAGTCGCGATTGTAACAGGCGCGGTAATTAGAAAATTTCTAACCTTCTAACTTAACAAATTACGTAATATTCAATTTTTTATTTATTAGAATAAAGGAATTGGTTACGCAATAGTACGTAATCTCGCATTATCCTACGCTTCTTCACCATCAAAACAACCTTTCATCATCTATTTATCCGCTCGTAACGAGTCGCTTGGTAAAACATCACTGGAGCAAATAAAGCAAGAGTTCGTTGGACGTAAATTGCTGCAAAATGATGGTGGAAATATTGATATCAAATTTTTGAAGATTGATTTGACAAGTAAAGAAAGTATCAATGAAGCGGCTGAGGTTGTGGATCGTGAGCACGGAGGTATTTTTTTTTTTTAATTAATTGTGCGTTTAAAAATATTTTATAATCATTAATAATCATGTTTTTAATTAAAGGCCTAGATATCTTAATAAATAATGCTGCAATGGGTAAAATTTCAATTATTGTCTTTGTATGCTAGATTTTTTATTTCTGCACATACAAACTAATAAAATTATACCACAGCATTTAAAGGTTCTGCATTCGACTCGAACGTTGTGCGTACCACGTTGGCAACGAATTTCTACGGCACATTGGAAATGTGTAATAAATTCATTCCACTATTTCGTGAAAATGGCCGTTTGATAAATGTGTCAAGTACTGCGGGAAGTCTTCGGATTTTAAGTCCGGAACTTCGAAGCAAATTCACGAATCCTGAATTGGATATTGATGGATTGATTAAATTGATGGAAGCGTTCCAGGTATGCATTATATGTTTGTTAAGTTTACTTTTAGTCCATATTAAATTGTTGATTAAATAGGACGCGGTCGACCATGGTACTTGGGAACAAAAAGGCTGGCCCACGCAAGGTTCAGAAACTTTTAATTTATTAAAATTCATTGATTTGGTTAATTCGATAACACTTTCATACTAATATTTTTAATATATAATATTTAGCATACGGCGTCTCGAAAACTGGAGTAACGGCATTAAGCCATATCCTCGCGAGACGCTTCAAAGCCGAAGGAAAAAATATTTTAGTCAATTCTTGCTGTCCTGGATGGGTAAATTTAGCTTTTCATTTACCCAATTCTTATTCAATTGTTTAATTCATTCATTTATTCATTATTCACCCAGGTGAAGACTGACATGGCTGGTCCGCGAGCACATTTGACACCTGGTATGCAATCAAACTTGACAATTGTTATTTAAGAGAAACTACTCATTCTTTTGTTTCACCATTTCTAATTTTGCAATATATAGATCAAGGTGCCGAAACTCCGGTATTTCTTGCCTTGGACGAAGAAACTGTGCCAAATGCGCCAAATGGAGAACTTTGGAAATTGAAACAAATACTTGAAGATTAGTCTTTTTATCGGATCTTTTGCATCATTAAATTATTATTGATACAACTTACCGTCACGTTCATAAATTTGCTTTCTAATGGAATATATCATCTAAGTACTAGAAAGAGTTTCTTGCTTTAATTTTCGTTATTGTCATAATTTCTTCAATTAATTGTAGAAGCGTAGTATTGCATGCCAAGAATTTAAAATTGAGTCAATAAATGGAAATGAAACGATGAAATTATACGTAGTTGAAGCCGTTTTATCGTTATATTTGTATACTATACAATAGCTCATGAATTTGTAAAATTATACTTAATAATAATTTTATTTTGCGTTCAAATACTTTTAATGGAATACATATTTTGCGAAAATATTCAGCAATTTTGAAAAATCGACATAAAAAAAGTTGCATTAAAATGCTTAGAGAATTTCTCAAAAGAATTTCTGAATGATGTTGCAAGGTATGAATTATGAAGGTTGTGCGGCAGACTTGATAGACCGTCGTCTGTTCGATTTTGTAGTGTAGCTGTAGCATAGACGGGACGGGATTGTAATTTTGAGCCCTAACGCTAATAGTGATTTTTTGATTAACGTTAATGGGCGATTGTATTACAATCTATCGCTATACGCTATACGTACCGATACTTTTAAATTCGAATGTTACATGTACATGTATAATGAAATAAATAGTTGATTTGCAAAAAACAAAAAGTCTCTCCTCCAAGCTCTTGTTAAGGCGGTTGTTCAGAGCCCCCTTCCGGACCAGCACAGGATGCTTCCGCCTGAAAAGCAGTTATCGGTTCTTATCGTTATCGGTATAGTGCGAAGGATTGACAAAATCGAAATATACATGAACATGTAATCACAAAATCAAACAGTCACATTTTTTCAAGTTCCCAACTTATTACGTATAAGAAATTTGACCTCCATATAGGACAGAAGCCGGATTGCCACTATCTTTTCACGTGCAACACATACAATTTTTATCCAAGTATTCAAATTATTTTGATAATATATAATATTCCAATATCTTATGAAAATTGGCCAATTATTTCAAAAAGCATGTCCAAACAACCGATTAAGCAAATCCAACAATACCATGCATTGCGCCGCCACTCTAGTATTATTTTGGCTGTTGAGAACACACAAACTTGATCTTTGCTCCGCAAATGGACTCGCCCCTTTGGACCTACTTCGCAATAATGCTTGCACATGACTCATCACACGTTTTCGATTCAGCAAAATACGAATTTATTTCCAAGTTTCTACGTATCTATGAGGATCCGGTCATGATTAAGACGCCTGGCTCGCTATGTTCGTGTTTAGCTATAATAATAATTTAAGGACCGCTCTATTTTGCTTGCGTCTGCTGGAAATAGTGATTCGGGTCGAGCAAGGATCTTCGGCCCACTCACGTTGGTAAAATTATCAGCTCGCCTCGCCTCGCCCCGCCCGGCCAAATTCATCACGTGAATACTGCACAGATATGATTGATCCATTCAATTGATTACCGTTATATAAGAAGAAATGAGTAGACAATAGAACCTATTTTATTACTAAAATTTATCATCAAAATCAACGTAATATTACCGTTACGTAATTCAAATTACATGTACATGTATTACGTATTGGTGTATGCGACACATTTGACTATCGAAATCGCTATGGTGATGACTTCTATAAACTCAACTGAGAAGCAAATATAAAATTTGATCCGTGAATATGATAGAATAGGATTAAATTTTGTATTTATTCCTTAGTTGAGAAGTTTATACATTTTATAAAATACGAATGTTTGATGACTTTAGATGTTATGCACCATATCAAAATAATTTTTTTATAAATACGTAGCTCTCAATTACTTCAGGATTCTTTTCAAACATTGATATCCAATGAAGCCTTTTTCGTTGCAAATAAAACAAATTTTTGAATCCTGCAAGTCTTTTAAAGCGATCATGGTTTTTTGGATGGGATAATTTCTATCAAGCAAGGTAGTTTCATAATTTGACGGAAATTGTATTATCAAATCATTTTCCATTTTCCTGAAAAAACTGTATCAAATCCTCGTTTTTGTTGAGCACTTTTTGTCAAAGAATTCTTTAAAATTGTATTCATATTTTTTTGCTTCCCAAATGAATTTATCTATCTCGTAATTTTTCACATCTTCGTTAATTTCATTAGGATGCATATGCATACACCAACATTGCTCTTCTAAACACGCACCATTATAGCATTCAATGCAAAGACCAATCAATACCAGTTGGATTGCAAGTTTTACACAAAATACTTTTCAAACCAATATTTGCTGAAATGCATTTAGAGCATATAAAATCATAATTTTCTTTTAGATTAAGGCATCCGTTTACTTCACATTTAAAGCTATACTCATAGTTTTTAAAGAATCTCCAGTCAAAGCAACTCAAGTTCAAACTGCTTTAGTGTTAAATTTTAGGCAGAGTAATAATTAAATTATTGGATATTATGTCAGAACTAGCAAAAAAATAAAATAAAATAAAATTTTCTGACAATCATTTATTGGCACATCAATAATTTCCCAACCTGAGGATTCAATAACGATTTTAACTTTCTGCTTTTTTTGTCTAAGTGAGTAACCCTTCCTTCACGATTAATAAATACTCCTACAGTGATTTTTACTAGATCATTTATATTTAAATTAGAATGATTCTGACTAGTAAATATCTTGTTCTCTTTTTGATTTTATTTTCGCATTGCTGAGTTTTAGCCAGACAAAGTAAAAAAAGAATTAATTTCACTGCCACAACTATATTATTATAATGATAAAACCAAATTCCAAAATCTAACGTAAAGTACCATTTTTTTAAGTAATTTGCTATCGTCAAAGCCTAACACTGATGTTAACAGAGCAAATATTGTACAAATAATGATTGTAGTCAAAAAAAATAACAAATACACTTAAATTAATAAAATTTTGTATAAATTTATGCTAAAAAATCGCAAATTGTAATATTTAAAAATTAAGAAGGATAACAAGATTCTAAAAAAATATTTTCACTAATCAATTTTGCAAATATTTTTAAGAAACATATTTTCATATCTTAATGAATATATCTAATTTTTCAATTGAATTTACTTTGTCATTATTTCATAATGATCAATTAAAAAAAGGTATAATTTTGCTAAATTTCTTAATAAATCATAGTAAAAATAAAAAAAATTCAATTTTTACTATGATTTATTAAGAAATTTAGCAAAATTTAATTGATCATTATGAAATAATGACAAAGTAAATTCAATTGAAAAAGTTTAAATATATTCTTTAAGATATGAAAATATGTTCCTTAAAGATATTTGCAAAATTGATTAGTGAAAATATTTTTTTTAGAATCTTGTTATTCTTCTTAATTTTAAATATTGCAATTTGCAATTTTTAGCATAAATTTATGCAAAATTTTATTAATTTGTGATATTAGATAAACTTGTTTTTCATATTATATAATATATATAATTTCATATGTTTTAAATGAATTTTTATGAAGTTGTACCTAAAAACTAAATTCTGGATATTTATCGCGACCATTGTAATGTGCACGATAATTACTTAATGATTTTGAGAAAGATAATTCTCTTTAAAAACTGGACAATCTTTTAATCCAATATAAAGAGCTTGTAAATTATAATCTAAAACTTTCCAATAATGTTTGTGACAAGCACCTCTACTAAAAAAGTACTTATTACTATGACAAAATAGATAACAACATTGATGAATCCAGGCTTTTTCAATTGGTATTTTATTTTTTGTTCCTCTCTGGTGAATCCCATCCTAATCAAAATTAAAATGACTAGAGCATACACCTAATAATTGCAAAAATTTTTTTTTCATATCTCTTTATTTGTTCATCTGTCAATACAAAATCTAACTCACATGTTCCCTGTAACTGTTTAATTGGATGAGATACAGAATTGATACATCTTTGAACTTTGTTATTAATAATGTCTACAATTACACATCGATCGAACTCTTCAATTTTTATTGAAGTATTATCAGCATTGTAACAATAATCAGTATTCTCAGTCTCGCTTGTTGATAAAGTCCATGTGGATTCCACTTCTGACTGATTGACAATCAATATCAGGTGCCAACCAATTTATGCTCGCTTCTTCTTGTTCATACTTGTTTGATGTTTGTTTCGTTAAATCGTGAATTATTTTTTATTAGAATACAGATTACCAGCAAAGTTATAATCGAAAAATTCAGCATTAATATTGTTAATACCAGCGGCAGTAGCAGAAGTAGTAGTAGCAGAGGAGGTGGGTGATCCAGGAACTTCCGAACCAGTATCAAGAATCTCATAATCTTTATCAGGATCTTCATATTCTAAACTTCCAGTAATGACATTCTGTGCGAAAATGTCTTTTTCTTCCATGATTTGCAATTTAATTGTAATTAATTGTCACTTATTTTTTAGTTTTTCCTTAAAAGTTCTATTATAGCTTCCGTTTGATTATAGTAGCTGTTTGAACACGATTATAGTTTGATTGTAGTTTCCGCTTTTGATTGAAGTTATCTCTTATTTTAGGATTATTTTTCTTTGTTATTGTATTGATTGAAGTTGTCTCTTATTTTTAGAGTTGTTTTTTCTTCGTTATTTGTATTTAATTGTAGTTGCTTATTTTATTTCTGTTTGATTGTTGTTATTCGTTTAATTTTGTTGGGTATTTATCGCTTAATTATTGATAAATTATAGTCGCTTACTACTTATTCATAGCTAATATTAATTGCTACGTATTTATATTATTAGTCGTCATTTAATTACGTTGCATTACACACATATTATAACATTTCATATTGGTTAACTTTCTTTAGCTCGAGATGGACTAAAACCCTATAGCTCTATTAACGAACACTCTGAACTACTACAAACTATACCTTCAAACGCGCTGTTTTTATTAATACCACTGGTCAAGTAAATTATAAAAACGTGAGAAAGTAACGGTAACAGACAAAAGGTAGCTAATTCGAAATTTACATATCGTTATACGTAGCTCCGGCTCTAATTACGGCTTAGTATGACATAACGATAACGATAACAATTGCACCCTTCTCACAAGAAATGGGAAGACTCGAAAAAAATTTTTATCTCCATCAATATTAATCCAAACAAAATACATTCATTTTAAACCGCAAAATCTCTAGAGGAGCTCTGTCTCATAAAAGTAAGCAAGGAACTAGTTATACATGTCATTTTTACATGCTTTGTTTTGCGTGTTAGTTAGAAAATTAGTAGTAATACTATATTTGAGGGAAATTTTGGTATACATTTTACGGTTTGTGCTTTTTTCTATCTATCCATTTAAACATCATCATTGCTTGCTGATCTAGATATTTTACTTGTATAGATCGAGATCCGTTTTCAAATGGTGAGTTACGAGTCAACTTTGTATTTCATTACTTAACTTTGATTATTCAGTTTGTATTCTTACACTCTTTACATTATTCCAGATATCACCAAAGAGACAATAAAGAAATTAACTCAAAGTCCTGATCATCTTCCAGACCGATATGCACTTGCGTATTTCCTTAATGAAGAACCTTCAGTGAAGATACGAGATACATATTTCACAGAAATGATCAAGAAGAATGTACATGGCCTTTTTGGACCTACCGCTTCTAGTAAAGTTAATCTATCCCCCTTCAGTTGGTACGAAATAAGATCATTTCACACTTTTTGTGATATTAATATCAAAATTGCAATCGAAGTATTTGGAAGATTTAGCGTAAGGAAGAAAAGACGATAAAGACAGAAGATGGCAGAATTTAATTTAATGTCAGATAGAATTCGTTCTATGATCTTTTTTCTGAATGTTTGTAAGTATCTTTTGAACTTTCACAAAATGCTAATTATTTATTGTTCTGTAGGTCGTATATTGCCTACGATAGTGAATTTGTGCCCTCTGAAAGATTTATAACATTGAGACAATTTAACGGAGCTATTGTCGAGTTTGGGTATTCTGTTAAAAAACTTACGTTAAAGAAAACAAAGTTGTTCATTTAATATGGAATGGTGGAAGTAAGTTTGATTTGTTCAATTCCTTGTTAAGGTAGATATATATTCTAATGATTTTGTATCTAGGCAAACAAGGTTAGATTTACCGACAAATGGGATATTCTACGTCCATTTGTCGTCACGTGGAGTATAACGAAAACCAACTTTGATGTAGAGGTATTACCCATCTCACAAATAGTCAAGATTGGGGTTGTGTTGATTTTCACTTCAAATTTTAAGCCAGTTTTTTTTATCGGTTGATTTTTCTGTAGAGCAACAACCTTTAATTTTTGAGTTGGAACAACTGACATTAAAACTACTGCTAGTTAGGAATAAAAGCCCTTGATTATGTACTGTTAATTTAAGAGTAAACCGATACGGGAATTTCTCTGAATTCATCGGGTTTTTATTCCACGTTATTCTTGCATGATAGTCTCAGTTTGCTACAACAAAACATATAGCGATAAACATTTCTCTTATAGTTTAGAGCACATTTTCTGTGTTTGTTAGAAAGCCATGAGAAGAATGTGATGGTCCATGTTTATATGCGTGTATACTTTGTGTATGAGAACAACATGAATCTATGACAGAGGGAAAAATTATGAACGGATTACAATGTCGAATGGTAAGCGATATTATAAAAGATGAAACAGAAGAAATGATCGAGCCAACGAGAGAATTTAAACCACAAATTTGTTTGTTTTTAAAAAAAGAATGCGTGTAAAGTGATTATACCGATACATACGAACATAAAATATGAAATTTTACTTTTCCTTATATAAATCATAACGATAAATTCTATTATGACGAAAATAAATGTTTTCTAAATCCAATCAAGCTTGCCAATTGATAACACTAACCAGAATTATCGGAATGTATATCGATATTTTTTATTTACTTTGTGTTGCCTTGGTTAATTGAAAAAACAACGAACGTACCAAAAATACTAAAGCAGATATCCATTGATCTGGTACATATATTTCGGCGTAGAAAATCATTCACTCTACCATCACTTAATGTCAATTTCCCCGGTGAAATTAGCTCGATAACAGCACACAAGTTCCAATGATATTAGTCATAACAACACCGCTAATTTTGAGTCATTTTGTAAACTCAAAACGTTATCGATAACAATCGTTTTCCACACATATAAATCGTCATTATTATTTTATTACCATTTAATAAAACACTGCAGATAACGATAATTACTAAAAGTGAACAGCTAAACTCATGATTGTAGTAAATGTGACGATTGTTACGATTGTCAAAATATAAGTGCTGCGATGAATGTAATAAATATCACAAACGAACTTATGAAGCTAAATGGTCTAGCGAAAATAAAGATACCAACAGTCTAATAAAGCATGCACGAATATTGGAAGTTCTTTCGAATGGATCTCTTTTGAAAGATTCAAAAGGAGGTTTTGGAACAATTTATAAAGCCACCTGGTTATTATGTTACGAGGGAGATCATGAAGAAAACAAACTTAAATGATGGAGAACGCAAAGTTGTGCTGAAATCATCAAATTAAAGCAAATCATATTACAGTTTATAAAATGAACAATTTTTAAAGTGCAAGCAAAACTTCAAATAATTATGGGATGACTATTGTTACACATTTTTCACTGATTGGGTAATTAGCTAATAAATGCAGACAAGAGTTGGGAGAGATAATTAAACAAATACAAGAATAATATAAAAATAATATTTAAGTCCTATGCCAATTTCTACTGAAATTGTTATAGTTTGAGAAGGAAAAAAGATAAAATAATAGTGTTTCAATTAGGTATAGTGTTCTAAATAACTATACTAACTAATTAATTTATGAACTATTTAATTAAAGTGACTAATAATTTAACTAACTAATTAAAATAACAAAAATAACAAAAGTAATGAAGACTCTTTCACTTTATTCTTCTTACAAGAAAGAGATTACAATATCTTTAGTTGAAAAATTCCAAATAATTCGATTATAACAAAAATATCAAAAGACTAATCTATAACAAAATATCAATTCAATAATTCAATATCAATATTTTGATCAGCTCAATACAGTCTCAAAGCTATTTGTTCACAAGATTTGAAGTGTACAGTTGAGAGGGGAAGATGAATTGTTTAAGTGTTAAAAGATATTTATTTTATTATGTTATTTATTCTCAAGTTTTAACATGTTGAGTTAGAGCTCAACTACAACTCATATTTATATATTTTCTTCAAAATTCAAATATAATATTAAAAATATGAATAAGATATAAAAGATAATTATACTAACTAAAAATAGAATTCCAATTTACTAAATATGGGGGATGTCTAGAGCGGAGGAAAATCACGTGAAATATTAATGATTATGATTGGTCAATGCGGATAAAATTCTAATTGATCAAGTGAAATAAATTAAATGTTAGGTAATAAATATCAAACGACAAGGGAATTAAACATTTTTTTGTTTTTCTTTTGTTTTTGGTTTGTTTTGGTTTGGGTTTGAGTTTGGTTTTGGTTTTGGTTTTGGTTTTTTCATAATGGTAAGTTCTTTTTTTTCGTAATTTTACTATTTCATTTTTTATAAAGATTAAAGATATTAACCTTTTTTTCTTAAAAAAATATTTTTTTACTTTTCGGTTTAGTTATGTCCGCCACCTCTTCCGGTTTAGTTATGTCCGTCACCTCTTCCGGTTTAGTTATGTCCGCCACCTCTTCAGTTGTGCCTTCGATAATTACCTCTGCTATGTCTTCAGTTGTTACGGCTTCTTCAATATCAAATCTCACACCAGATGAAAAATGGAGTCATCTTTTTAATATAAACGATTTTTTAGAAATTCCAATGGAGGATTTTAATGATAATTGGTGGCCATTGGTTACGAACATTTGGACGAAATGGGATTCGTATGAATATGTAAATGGTAATACTCAGAAAATTTTCGCCTGCTGTTTTATGAAGCATCAAAAATCAAGTACTCGACAAAAGGAAAATGTCCCAAGCGAAAAACGTCGAATAACAAGGACATGATCATCTGACCTATATCTTGCAAAGATTAAAGTTACTTGAATAGTCTCTTCAAAGATGGTTCGAATAGAATGATATAAAAACGCTCCAAACCATGCGCATTCTTTATTAGAAGTTGATAGAATAAAATGATCAAAAGCCATCTGAAGTTTAGTCAAAATAGAGGCAATAAAAAATTATTCACCTCCAGCAATTACATCTGCCGTCAAAGAATATACAATGACAGAATTAGGTCTTGGTGCATGTGTACATGAGCTGACGCGCAAAGAAGTGACGAACATTAAATATAAAGTTCATGAACCTATAGAAGCTCATCTTATTGGAAATTCGAATTTAAAATTAGATATTTTGGAATCTGTTTCTTATTTAATAAAACAGGGATATCTTGTTGAAAATTATCACATCTCCCAACGGTCAACTAAAGGTATCGTGTTTGCACATCCAGAACAATTAAAGAAACTTAAGCGTCATGGATGGTTGACGCTTATAGATTCAACACACAAAACCAACCGGTATGATTGGCGTTTATTTACTCTTTACATCCGCGACACTTACGGATGCTGGAATGTGGGTGCCCACTTTTTTGTGAGCAGTGAGGATGGAGACACCGTTGCGGAAGCATTAATAATAATTCGTAATAAATATTGTCGTTGGTCCCCCCGTTATATACTTTCAGATCATAGTAGCATCGAAGCTAAAAGTATTAAAAAGGCCTTTCCCAGTATAACTGCTGGTGAACAAGAATGTCAAATAATCCTTTGTGTTGTCCATGTTATGAGAACGTGGATGCAAAGAATTTATGAAAAAAAAACTCGGGACATCATGATCACGGCGATGCATAAAAGAACAAGGATTGGTTACGAAAGCCTTGTTCAAAATGCTATTAATCATTGTTCTGTTCCTGCTATACAAAACTATATTAAAAAGAACTATGTGAAAAATACACAGCAATGGGATTTATGGACCCGTCAACATTCTTCTCTGCTCTTACAAGTCACAACTATGAATCCATTGGAATCCTTTCATAGCGAATTGAAGAGAAAAACATCTTCATTACATGGGTTAATTGGTACAAGATTTTTTTTTATTTATTTTACCCGCCCACCCACCTCATTTTGTGTCTAAATTTTTCTTTCTTTAGGTGCCGTTCATGATATTGTCGATATTGATTGTAAAAAAAGATCTGAATCTGAAAGTGCCGCCTTCGATTTTGGTGTCAAGAAAGTGTTCGCGTATGGTAT